TATGAGAGGCAGATATGGTGATACATACAGGTCTCAGGAGGCTCAGGCAAGAGGATCATAATAAATAAAACACCAGGTTCAATAACCAGAATCCCCCCCACCCTTTTTTTTGGTCAAGAACTAGTTTTTCCACCCTTTCCCATAACTAAGAATCACTGTCAGAGGCCTCTTGGCACTAGTCCAAATGTCACTTCAGTGAAACCCTACAATGCCTCTGGGGGAGAAACCAGTGAGAGACTATCTTGAAGAATTTCAAGATACATGATATGTACATCTAATAAATGCAGTTACACAGTTTAACAGTAAATATGTGCAAAACATACATCAATATATAAGACTAAATATAGAAAAAAAAAAGAATAAAAATAAATAGCAAAATAATGTATAAGACCATCCACAGACAAATTCACCTACTTAAAGACTGGTTTAGACACAGCACTGTTGGTAAGCACTTGGTATGCTCCTGACCCTGAGGGTGGTACACACAGATTCAAAGGAGAGTCTGTCACTACCTGAGTAAGCCTGGCCTTCTGTCCACAGGTACTAGGACCCAGGCAGCCAAGGACATGATGACACTGTCCAAGATCAGCTCAGCATGTGTGAAGCTGTGGGTTGGCGTTCACCCAGGCGCTCTCTCCCTGCTGCTCCCACTTCCTCAACAGATAGATGGTGTTCCCTTGGGAGGAGAGGACAGAAGGCCCCTTACCCGCCTTTGTGCTTTTTTTTCTTAGGAGTATCCTCTTCTGATGTCCTCCTCCCTCGGCCCCGGGAGCCTCTCTTTTCTTTCTGACCCCGACCTTCTGAAAAATAAGACCTCATTATTCTCACAGAATTAACTAAAGCAGGCAAGATTTACCCAGATCCATCTAGCATCATATTCCTAATGCATTTAGACAAAACTCTTCAAAATTCCAGTCACTAATAAACAGAACATCAGTCAACTTGCTTTTCAAGCCTCGTGATCCAGCACTTTCAAAATCACTGCCATCCATCTTGTCCTTAAGGTCAGCCTCAAAGCGTGCCAGGTCAGCATCAAGCCTTCGGATATGTTTGTCCACCTGTAGAAGGATACTTAAAAGTCTAACTTTACAGTATAAAGAAGGCTAGCGATGCAGTTCAGTGGTATATCACTGCAGAAGATAAAACCAAGAAACAAAACACAAAGTCTTCACAAACAAGCAACCTAACTAACAGGGGACCCCTCCAAAGAAATAGCAAAGGGGTGGGCCCAGGTGAAGGCTCCCAGAGCATCCTTCCTCTAAACGCTCCAAACCCCCACACTGCACACACACTTCCACCCAGCTTTCCTTCTGTGGCACAGAAGACAGGCTTGTCTCTCACTCTGCAACCCTGTACTTACCATCTCGTAGGTCTGCATGGCCAGCTGCACTTTGTCATCGCTGTACTCCTTGCACTTGCTGTAGGCGCTCTGGATCTTCTGCAGGTGCTCTACACGCTGGGCTGAAGAGAGAGTCTTCACTGTGGAAATATACTCTGCAGCCAGGATATCGATCTCTGCTTTCTTATCTGATGGAGACAGGTGAGAAGCTAGTTCCATACAAGATGTACTGCGTGTCATCAGTTATCACCAACCGGCAGCAAGAGGTAGAGTGACATGCATCCAACTGGCTGGCAGAGCATCACTGGCCATGTCGGTGTGTACGTTCTGGTACAGCAACTTGCCCAAGATAGACCCAGTTAAGATACTGTCCAGTAAGTAGTCAAAGTGCCCTCTGATCTCCTGGATAGTAAGGAGGGTAATCTGTGGTCACCTTGCCTACTACCTAGTATATAATTCCATCACATACTCAAAGGAAAGCTGGGTGCTTACACACCAGAACACACTTGGGAAAATACTCATGACAGCTAAAAGCAGGAAACAATCCAAATATCCAATCCACAAAGACTGGTAAGCAAGCTAAACTCCATACACACCACCCAGCAGCACATGGAATCACTACAGTTACATACAACCCTGTGGATTAACCCCATGGGAAGTGACAATGAACAGCAAAAGCAAAACATGGGAAAGCAATCCACATGCTTCCATTCATATCAAGAACAGAGACAGATACAACTCTTCACTGTCACTGAGAAATGGGACATCTACTGTTATAGGTGGAAAGGATCACCACCAACTTAGGGTGGACTTCTAGATGGCAGGGTAAGGTCTCTCATCTGAGAGATGGGAAAGAGATGCTCACCTAATCACATGTGTAAACTAATCTGCAAACATTTTATGCCCATGTCTGAACGTCTACCATATTTACAAGATCCTGCCCTGAGTGGAAAGCATAGTGCTTCCAATCTACAGCCAGGCCCAGCACTGAGCAGTCTCCCCAACAGAAGCATGTGACCTCAAGAGGCAGAGGCAGGTGGAGCTGTGTGAGTTTGAAGCCAACCTGATCTATGTAGCAAGTTTTAGGCCAGACAGGGCTACACAGTGAGACCCTGTCAAGAAAGAGAAAGAGAGAGAGAGAGAGAGAGAGAGAGAGAGAGAGAGAGAGAGAATATAGAGAAATATCAAGATGTCAAAAAGTACTCTCTCAACTTTTCAAACTCTCCAATTACTTGAAACTTCTGAGTACTAATAAGAAGACAATGGAAGGGCCCACAAGTGACCTTATGTAATAACTCCCTGAAGTCATAACACGGGTCAGTATAAAGAAACATTGTTTCACACACCAAAATCATTAGCAATGTTGTATAAAATTATCTTCCAGATATGTATTTTTGTGTTTAGACTTGAGTCATACCCCCAAGATAGTTCATTATATATGTAAATATCCCAAAACTGACAAGTATCAAAACCCAAAATATTTCCAGCCAGAAGCATTTTGGATAAGGCCTACTCAACCTACATGCAGTTTAGAAATAGGGAAACTTTTTAAAGGACAAAGGCAGCAAAAATTCTGACCGAAAAGGACAATGGTTGAGAAAACATGACATGAATTTGTATAAGAGCCCAAGAAATAGGCTGGGAAGATGGCTCAGTGGGTAAAGCAATTGCTATGCACACATAAGGACAGGAGTTTAAGTCCCCAAGTGCAGTATCACATGTATCTGTAATCCCAGCGCTCCTTCTGAGACAGGAGGCAGAAACTGAGAATCCCAAGAAGTTCATGGGCCAGTTAGACTAGTGTATACAGCAGCAAATGAGAGACCCTGTTTGGGTCAGCCATGATGGCAGACATTTTTAATCCCAAGAGAGAGGCAGAGGCAGGTAGATCTCTGTGAGTTCCCAGGCTGGCCAGGACTACATAAGAAGACCCTGTCTCAAAAACAAAAGAGAGAGAGAGACTCCGTCTAAAACAAAGTGGAAGGCCTGAACCCAACATTGTCCTCTGACCCCTACATAACTGCTATGGTACATGAGTGTGTATACACACACACACACATGGAGATTTTTAAAAAGAACCCAAGAAACTATATCTGACTTTAAAGGTACCAGCACTCCTCACCCCCAGCCCTGCACTCAGGACAGTAAGGGAGGCATACAAGCATACTAGGAGTTCTAGGCCAGCCTGGGCTACAGGACAAGACCCTAGGTGGTGCACACATGTAATCCCAGCACGTGGAGGTAGAGGCAGGAGGATCAGGAGATCAAGGCCAGCCTCAGCTACATAGGGAGTTTGAGGTCAGCATGGGCTAGGAGATACTGTCTCAAAAAAAAAAAAAAAAAAATACACACACACACACACACACACACACATCAGGGGCTGGAGAGATGGCTTAGGGTTAAGAGCACTGGCTGCTCTTGCAGAGAACCCATGTTCCGTTCCCAGCACCCACAAGGTGGCTAAAACCCATCCATAACTCCAATTTCAAGGAATCCGATACTCTCTTCTGGCCCCTGTGAGTACTGCATGCATGTGGTGCACTTACGTACTTGCAGGCAAAAACTCATACACATAAAAAATAAAAATAATTTTTTAAATGTTTAAAATACTAGCACTCCCTCCGAGACACCTTGCAAGGCCTACTCCTCCTACACCCCACTATATGAGGTCCCTTCGGATCCTTCGGCTGCCCAGGTCCTCTACTTACTCTCCCTGGCAGATGGTCAAGACCCAGCTCCGGCAACACCCACCTTCTGTCCTCTGATCCAACTCTCGCATCAGCTGGAAGTTCCTCTGAAGTTCACAAGGAAGGTTCTCAATGCCTGGAAGAAACATGGAAACCCTGTACTTCTCAGCAGGCAAATCTGCCCCCAGAGCCTTAGGCCAAAGCGTGCAACAGAAGGCTTTATTTTCTGTTTCTGTTCTGGTTTGGGGACTAAAGGATTAAAACCTTTTTAGGGGCAGGTACCAAACAGGCTGACATGTTCACAGCTGAAGAATTAAAACGGGAATGAAGGAATTAGCCCTCAGCAGAAACAGACAGGGAACAAACAGCTGTGACTCCTGCCTGGACTCCATCTCTCCTCACCCCTAAGTCATACCCCTCAGTGAGCTGCATCCTCCAAAGGCTCAAGCCAGAATCTGAGCCCACCTTGATCTCTCCAACTTTGACCCGAGGTCTACTACACCAGGCACTGCAGACCTCATGCTATCCATGGACATGCTCATTCTGCCTTGCCCAACTTAGCAGCTTCTAGTCACACAGGGCTGAGGAATGGAAATGTAGCCAGTACCACCGAGGAATTCAGTCTTTGTGGCCAGCAGCTGCCTGGCAGGACAGTTGCCAAACAAACCGATACTGCTTTCCTGTCTGCACTGCATCTCCTAATACATACTAGCCTCCACTCACCAGCCTACAGCAGGCACCGGTGCTGTCTCCCTAGGTCCTGTCACACTCTCAACCACTCTGGACAGCAGCCAAGGCCAACATTTTGGGCCTAAATCTTATAAAACTTGCTGCTGTAAGCCTGTGGTTTCCTGAGTCCACAGAGAAACTCCCACACACAGCCCGACTCTCCTGCCCTCCCCTGGACCTCTCTACTTTCAGAAAGTGGGACCTTCCCCTGTGGTCTTCTGATTTACGTGTATTCCCAGGTTTTAATCTTCTGTGAGCTTAAAAACAAAAAGTGTGTCCCGACTATCGTGGAGTTGTGGGGAAATAAAGCTGCCAGCGTTGAGAGGAACTCACCGTGGACTCAGCTTAGAATGCCCATTGGGTGGACACCAGAATAAAGGGCTACATTGGCGTCACACTCCCCAACCAGAAAAACAAAGCCAAAGGGAGAAACTGGGTGTCCCCTTGGCTGGATTCTCCCTCCCTCCAAGGCGCAAAGAGTGGAAAAGAATCCTCCCAGTTCTCAAAGGGACCCAATCTCTCCATCTGTGAACGAAGAGCGGACGGCCAGGGGCATCAACCATCAACCCTTTATACTGGTCCTCCCTTGCCCAATCGCCGGTGACAGCACTCGTTCCCACGAAAAACGCTCCTCACTAAGCCAGCACGCGCTCTCCCGGCTCCTAATAGCCGCGGAGCCACGGAGGCTGGACACGACCCAGGGCTCCCCGCACAGCAGGGAGCAGATTCACTAGAGCAAGAACCTGCAGGGCCAAGCTGGCGGGGCGGGGTCTATTGCAGGGGCGTGGCCTTTGGGGCGTAACCAACGCGGAGAAGGCAGGACAAGGTGCAAGCCCCGCCCCACCGTGACGCACCTGGAATTGGCGCGGCGGAGGCGGCAAGACCCCGCGCCGCGCCCGGCGCCCGCCCTCTGCGGCCCCGCCCCGGCCTGGCCGTGCGCCCCCGCCACCCCTATGACCGGTCGTCCGCCACGCCTGCACCCCAGGGTCCCCGCGCAGGCCGCAGCGTGCGGGGTGTGGTAGCGACTCGAGCCCGTGGGGACGGCGGCGCGACCGGAACGCTTACTGTCCAGGTAGTGCTCCAAGTACATGGCGGTCGCCATCTTCGCTGCGGCCGCGCTCGGGTCTGCGCGAGCGGGAGGTGCCTCGGAGTCGGGGGCGTGGCGGCGGCGCGCGCTCACTATTCATGAGCCGCGCGCGCCGATTGGTCGGCGCAGGGGCGGGGCGGTACTGGCCCCGCCCCCGACTTCCGGCTGCCTGGAGTCTGCGGAGCTAGCTGCGGGACGCGGCACTGAGGCTGCAGCTCGCGTGCTCGCTCAGCTCCACGCCCCGGTCGTCCCGCTGAGCGCGTGACCTGGACCCCCTCCCACGTGCCCGGGCTCCGAACCCGGCCAGCCGCTCTGCCTGCGCCTTTCCTCCGCCGCACCCCAGGGTCCCGCCCTGCACAGCCCGGAGCTCGGTTAACGTCGGCGGCTCCGCACCGGGCCTCGGCTAACCTTGGGTCCCCTTTGTTGCTGTCTGGCCTGGAAGGACGCGCCCACGCTGTTCCTGGATGCCTGGACTGGTCCTGGGCATACCGTGAAGAAAACATGTATACCCTGGTGCCTGCAAAAATACCAGAAAGGGTCGTTTAAATACGTTCGATGGTGGATTAAATGTGGTTCTGTGTCCGAACGCCGTGCCTTATCATCGCCCGCACTAGCCAGCCCCATGTTTCTCCTGCCCACACTGAACCACTCCTGCCAGCATTTAGAAATCATCTCTAGCACAACTTCATGGGCCCAGGGTTACGTGCCACTTGCCAACCTGCTACTCTGTGACTGCATGTTGGCCAGCGGTAGACGATGCCTGGAAAGGGGGCTAGAGCACAAGAGAGCGAACTCACTCCCCATATACATTCTTGACCACGGACATTGGTGACTGTGGTGTGTACAGTTTAGCCCAACCAAGGAAGTAGGACCTTGATTATTTTTATTTTTTTAGATAGGGTCCCATTTAGCCCAGGGTGGCCTCAAAGTGGATATGTAGCCAAGGATGACCTACCTCTATCTCCCAAGTGATGGGATTGCAGGGGTATGCCACACCAACCATTTTATGTGGTGTTGGGAATCCAACTCAAGGTTTCATGCATACTGGGGGCAAGCAGTCTACCAAAGTCGACTACATTCCCAACCCCTGGAGCATTTTATGCTTGTCAGTTCTATGCTTGTAAAAATTCAAACCATGTCTCCAACCTCCTAAAATGCTAAACCAATTGTCTTGTTCACCTTTAAATCCAGGTGTTAGTTTGAATTCCCTTTCCCAGGCCTGTATACTACCTAATGAGAAAACAAACATGACTGCACAAATATCCACTTATTTTAAATGTTTAGA